TATATCCCCAGCCCTTTAGATCATTTTTGATGACTTCAGTTTTGATTTGTTTTCCAGACATTGCTTGACAGATTATTATTAATTATTATCTTTCATTGGGATGTATACTGAAATCACAGGTTGTTTGATGAGGTGATGATAGGCAAAAATCTGACCTCAAGAGGGGTTGGGGGGATTAGTCTCTGCTACTTACTGTTTATATTTTAATTCTCTACTGGTGAGCATCAAAGAAGAAAGGAGAGAGTTCCCTGTTGACTCTGGAATTTGCTGAGTCAGATTTTTATTGTTAGTACAAACTTAAAAAAGAGAGATTGCTTTTGTGTTTATTTAAGTAAACTTTAGTCAGTGGAAGCCTTTTGTTTGTTTGTTTGTTTTTTGGTTCTGGGGATTAAATCCAAGGGTATTCCACCACTGAATTATATCCCTGGTTCTTTTTATTTTATTTATTATTGGTAGTACTAGAGATTGAACCCAGGACTTTGTGCATGCTAGGCAAGCATTTTACCACCTGAGCTGTATCCCCAGGCCCTTCATTTTTCACTTTGAGACAGGGTCTCGTTAAATTGCCAAAGCTGGCATGGAACTGTGCCGCTTCTGCTTCAGCCCCTCCACCACCAATAGCTGTGATTACACACCTGTGCCACCATACCTGGCAGTTAGAACATTTTGTTTGGAGGGGTGCCAGAGATTGAACTCAAGCACTCTACTACTGAACCACATCACTAGCCCTATTTTGTATTTTATTTAGAAACAGTTTCTTAATGAGTTGCTTAGCGCTTTGCTAAATTGCTGAGGCTAGCTTTGAACTAGCCTCCCTTTTTCAGCCTACCGAGCTGCTGGGATTGCAGGTGTTCGCCACTATCCCCGGTAGAACATTTTTTAAAAGCAAGTTAGGACTATTCTACATGTATATGTTTTAGACATAGAGTTACTACTTTTAATTTTTTAATTCCAGCTCAATATTGAATATTCTATTCTTGGTGCTAAACTTAATTTGGGGGGGGGCGGTTACCGGGGATTGAACTCAGGGACACTTAATTACTGAGCCACATCACCAGCCCTAAACTTAATTTTTCTCTGTTATTTTTTCTAATAATTAAAGACATAGGGGCTGGAGCAGGGGCTAAGTGGTAGAGCACTTGCCTGGCACATGTGAGGCTCTGGGTTCGATCCTCAGCACCACATTAAAAAAAAAGGTATTATGTCCATCTACAACTAAAAAGTGTATTAAAAAAATATATATATAAGTGTGTCCCTGAGTAGTTCAATCCCTGGTTAAAGAAAAAAGATGGTTTATGCTAATACTTACTGATATGGTAGTCTTTTGGAAGGTTGGATTTAGTTGATATAAGTTGGGATAGTATACAAGTTGGGAAATGATAAATAAAGAGCTACTGTACAATAGAGAATATAGCTAAACTTAATGGTTGGTTGAGATGTAATTAAGTAAATTGCAAAGCAAGGTCAATCCCTGTTACTAATAGCTATTGAGGAAAACCTAAAATGTAATTCATTTGAAGATGAACATAAATAAGTGTTTGGTAACTTGACTTAGAAGAATGAGTAATTTTCTGTAGAGGAACTGATTGCTGTTTAGTCAAACTATTTTGTCATCAAAATAGTTTATTTCATCCAAACATTTTTTGGGGGGAAGGTGCTGGAAATCAAACTCCAGACTTTGTGCATGTTGTGCAAGTGCTCTGGCACTGAGCCATATCCCTAGCCCTTTCACTCAACTTTTTTTGGTACTGGGAATTGAACTCAGGGACACACAACCTCTGAGCCACATCCCGAGCCTTATTTTGTATTTCATTTGAAACAGGGTCTCACTGAGTACTTAGCATCTTGCTTTTTGCTGAGGCTGGCTTTTATTTTTATTTTGAAACAAGGTCTTGATAAATTGCTGAGGCTGGCCTGAAACTTGATGTCCTCCTGTCTCAGTTTCCTGAGTTGCTAGGATTATAGGCATGTGCCACCAAGCCTAGCAATACTCTACTGACACTCTGGCACATGACTCTCAGTCTGAATCTGCCTCTCCCACCCATTCCCCCCACTACTAGAAATTAAACCTAAGAGTGCATCTCCCCAACCCTTCTCAAGACACAGTTTTGCTAAGTTGTCCAGACTGGCCTCAAACCCCTGCCTCAGCTTTTTGAACCACTGGAATTACAGGCATAGGCCACACACTACCCTATCCCACCACTGCCTAATTAATATCTTTTTATTTGAGTGGAAGTAGTATCAAATAGTAGGTCTGGGTTTTTTAGAATCTCTTCAATAGCTGATAACATGATGTAACCTAGTTGATACATTGTAGGCTAAAAGTTAAAGCATTATGTTTCAGATTCTAGAAATAATAGAAAATGTAGAAAGAGCCAGCAGTGTAGCTCAGTGGTACAAAATAGCCTGGAATCGATCCTTAATATCCACCCCCTGCCAAAAAATTTTTAAAAAGCTTAAAATTGTATTTCAGTGAAATCCAGACACAGAGGAATTCATTGTAGACCTGGAAAAAAGCAAATAAGGTAGTGGACTCTGAAGAAACTTAATGACAGTGGACTGAGGGCCTAAGGCATTGGTTTGTTTTTACTTTCAATCTCTGGACTTGTTGAAATCAGTTTTAAAATTAATTTGGTTTTAGTGGGGCACGCCTGTAATCCCAGCAGCTCAGGAGGCTGATGCAAGAGGATCGTGAATTCAAAGCCAGCCTCAGCAAAAAGCGAGGTGCTAAAAACTCAGACCCTGTCTCTTTAGAGAAAAGGACTGGGGATATGGCTCAGTGGTCTAGTACCCCTGAGTTCAATCCCTGGTATCAAGAAAAAAAATTTTGAATCCCTATCTCTCGCCATGCACAAAAGTTAACTCAAAATGGATCAAGGAGCTTGATATTAAATCAGAGACACG